TTCCTGCTGCTGATGCTAAGTGCAAAGGAATCCGAGGTTTCAGATTTAAGAAGACTCCTCATTACATTACAGTACCATAATTATGCAATGTGGTACTACGGAAAATCAGATCTGGCATATGCAAAAGAAAATTAATCAAATAGAAAAGTTGCTAGGCTAGCTAGCTAGGCATGGACCACATGGAAATTATAACTATGTTTCTAAAGTCTTCAAGACAAGCTGTATGATTTTCCGGCAAACTGCTCGGTATATTAGCTGGCTTTGCAATCCCTGCTCATGCCTTATAATTTGTTTTTGTTGGGTGTGTTTAGCATGCATTAATAGAATTTTGAAGTTGCAGATCTAATTACCATTGCACAACATGTCTTATCTTAGCATTCAACCGGAGGCCACACGTTCAGTTCAGCCCAAACTAGTTTCTCAAAGAGCCCAAATTCGGCAACCACCAGAAATTATTGCATAGGCCTGATGTGAACCGCATAAAATCAACCCCGTTGCAGCCCAAATGTCAACCGATGGGCGACCTAATTGAACAAAGGCATCGGGCAGCAACTATCACTTGAATTTGGGGCGAAAATACAAAATAGAGTATAATTCAGAGACCATTGCTACAATCAAGTATATTTTTAAAGAAAACAATGCCAAAACTTATACATTTTCCTTTTTATAAGAAACAAAATTAAATAAAATTTGTTGACAAGTTGTCCGGTGCAATGCATATATACAATACAAAACCTATAAATTTCACAAGCATCTTTCTTGCTTGAGAATTTTCGCAAGTGACAAAACACCCCCCTCCTCCCCCTCCTCCTCGGTTGATATGCCAACACTTCGTGAGGTCAAAGAGAGAAAAAAAATTTGATTATTGAAATATGGGCCTATACTTATGCATAGCAATTGGTTGTGGCCCTTGTAATTATGGGCTTACTGGGCAATCAACCGTCGGATCCGGGCCGGGTGTCGGATCCACTCCAGTCAATAACCAACCCGGCCCGGATCCGGAGGTTCTTTGCTTTGTTTTCATTCGGGTCCCTCTGTGATTCTGCCTCTCTTCCCCTCTTTGTGCAGATCTGATCTGAAGCCGAAACGGTGAGAAACTCTGCGTTCGGAGTTGCCTTTCATCAATTTTTAAAGGTACTTGTTTTCATTTTCTGTTTGTTTGATGCTTTACATGTTTGTGATCGTTATTTCAGTGCAAGATTTGATCTTAGTTAATAGATATATTACCCAGTTTTGGTTTTATTGAATTGGACCCTAAAATTGGAAAAATTCAATATTGGTGATTGGAAAAGATTAAATTTTTGAGTAGGCATATTAACCAAGTATATTAGAAAATTCATGTGTGAGAAGATTTTGATTGTATGGCATTTGTCCTGAATCCTGATAGTGTTTTTGTTCCTCCTTCGTTTAGTGCATATCAACTTAAAATGGCTGGCAGAACTCATATCCCCACTAAGAGCTCAGCACTTATTGCCATGATTGCTGATGAGGTATGGATGATGTTTGTTCTGTAATCTTTTGATTGAAATCACTTCTTGCATTCTCGATTTGTCTTTCTGTTCTGATGAGGTGATCCTTTCATTTATGCAGGACACTGTAACTGGATTTTTGCTGGCTGGAGTGGGCAACGTTGACTTGCGGAGAAAGACAAATTATCTTATTGTTGATTCAAGTAGGTTATGAGCTTTATTCATGCTTCAAAAGTTGGAACTTCGTCCATACTGGGAATCTGTTTCTGTATGTTTGTATGTGTATGCAGATAGGTAATTGGATGGATTAATGCCAACTCTGGTATATGATTGGTAATCTGTTTGTAAGGGGAAGGAAATTGCAAACTTATAGGGAATGAATTCTATGTACGAAATGATATATTTCTGTTACGAAATTTCTCTGTTGCGAGTATTATTGTGAATTCATTGACAGTGAATGATTTCCTTCTTCTTTTTCAAGAAAAAAAAAACAAAATAGGATGCCACGATTCATTAGTGATGCAAAGTATAATATTACATTTTTGTCAGTTTAAATTTGGACTGCTGTGAATGGTTTGGTATTCCTTTTGTCTCTCTTCTTAATGAGTATTGCAGCGCTTGAAATTAGCCTACAACCTGGTACATTAAATGAAAATTGTACTTTTCTTTTTCTTCTTTGATTTTTCGGTGTGAACAATTTAGCTATGAATTCATATTATTAGTTAAAGCAAGGTTCAGTTGCTGGTGCTTGTTTTCATATCTAATTGCACGTGCTTCTGGTTTTTTGCTCAGAAACAACAGTGAAAGCAATTGAAGATGCATTCAAAGAGTTTACCGCAAAGGAGGACATTGCAGTTGTCTTGATAAGCCAATATGTAAGTTCTTTCTCATACTTTGAAGTTGTTCAACTGTTATGGTGATGGTTTTTTCTGGTTTGTAAGGTGACATCCTTAGTTCCCAAGTGGTTGCTACACTTACTGTAATTTATAGCAATCTTTGTTTGTATGTATTGCAATGTATTCATTCTTTCCAAACGGGTTGTTGGTTGAAGATTATTTTACTTTTAGGAAGGAGATGACCTTTTTTCTCCTGTTCCCTTACCAGGTTGCAAACATGATAAGGTTTCTAGTTGATAGCTACAACAGGCCAGTTCCAGCTATTTTGGAAATCCCTTCCAAGGATCATCCTTATGACCCTGCTCATGATTCGGTTCTTTCACGAGTGAAGTACCTTTTCTCTACTGAATCTGTGGCATCAGGAAGGCGATGATTGTTGAGTATTTTCATGTGGTTTGCACACAAGGGTGAGAAATAAGTATTGCTTTTGATACCATATATGCCCTTCTGCCTTTGATCAACTTCACGCCAAGTGCTATGTTCAGTTGTATAACCAAATAAGATATTTCAATCAATGTAAAGAGGCTAATGATACATTTAGATAAGGCTCTTTGCTTTCAAGCATCCGTCGTAGCCTGGCTCCTCTTCTGCTGTCTGTATGTATTTGGAGCCGCATCCATCACTCGGATGTCTAACCAGAATCATTCATCTCTTAAAACCGCAAAATTTCATATATTTGACTGTAATTCAAAATTGATATACCGGACCGTGCCTACTTGACCAATATCGGCACATTTTGAAGTTGACAAGTGAACCATTTGTTGAAACAGGGGAAAAAATAACCAAATTCTTTGTGCTGTAGTGACCAATACTTGAGAATGGTCGCTAAATAGAATTTGTTATGAACTTCTAGTGTATTTGGACACTAATTGCATTTAGTGACCAAAAACGGTATTTTTTGTGACCAAGTGGCTGGACACTAATACTTGTTTTTCTTGTAGTGAAACGGGCACAAGCTCTTGCACACATTTATTTGTTAGTGATTGCCTGCTGTGTGATTTTGCAGACTACATGGTTTGTTTTAGAAAGGATCCTCGAATGGTCAATTGGACTGTAGCAATCTGAATTCCAGAAGTCTGCAATGAGATCTGAAGTTAGTTTGGGCGAATTGCATCAGTGCCTTGCCACTCTTGAACGCATTTATGTTTAGGAATATTTCGTGGTCGTGGATATTTTACTTTGGCAGCTCTGCGTGCTGTCAAGCTTTCGTTTTGTTTTAAGGTTTAGCCCCCTTTGTTCTGTGAATATGTAGGGGAAAATGACATGGAATAGGGGTACGATTACCAACAAAATCAGGAACTCAACTCCTTTATGACTTTTAAGCTCTTTTCATTACTCTGCTTGTGGAATCGGATTGGATGTGATTTCCCTTTTGTCTTATTTAACCAACTAGCTCTTCGTTTAGTTCTTTTTGAATGAGTTGACTATGTACTCCAAAAATCAAAGCCAAGAGTAGGAAAAGAGACCAACCAGAAAAGAAAAGGAAGAAGGATTCATACATATATAAATACAGAAGTATATATGTATTGCCATACCCAACTTAACTAATCCATACACGAAATTGGAATGCAAACTTGATAATTGTCCACTCAACAAAATCTAGTCATGAAGTGAAAGGATAGAGATGTATGCGCAAGAGGAAGACAGAGAGGCTAGTAATTAACGAATGCTGAGGACTTACTGATTGTAAATATGATTATGAATGAATTGGAAATTTAAAGAAAATGTATTACTCGGTGGCAAAATTAATCAACAAAACTTACATCACAAAGGCACCAACCAACTCCACATCGCTCGTCAGAATCTCTCCACCCATGGTCATAGCTTCAGAATCTTGAGACTGACAGTTGCCATCGCATTCAAGGATGCGAGAATATAAGAACTCGAAGTCCACAGATCGTCTATCCTTGCTAACTTTGAACTCAAAGATTAGGGCACAAACACTAATCTTCATGATATCAGCCATATAATAACAGCTGAATGGTCCCATAAATCGGGACAACACAAGGCAGACAGTTCGACCTCCTAGGTGGATGAACCTAGAGTTGGCTGGTGAAACAACAAATTCAGGAGGTAATAACCCTGTTGGCAGCTGCATAGGTTTGACGACTTTCAACTCGCTATAGCCCTTGGGCAGGAGGTAGACTGGTATAGCATTAGGCGCACGCAAACTACCGTAGCAGAAAATAATGAAATCACCCTCCCCATTGTCCACAGCTAATGCTCTTCCTTGAAAATTCAAGTCATGCGAAGGAATACCAGGAAGTACTCTCCATACTTTGTTGATCGAATCAGCAACATCAAAGCAATATACAGGCTCTCCTGTGCATGACATAATGATGTTGGTGCCTGCGATTGTGAAACAGTATTGTTGGGGACTGTGACACACCTCCCTGGTATTGAAACGGAGGAAAACAGGAGGGTCCGGCAGAGGCGACCATTTAGCCTCTTGCGGGTCAAAAACCTCAAAGTATGGGCTCGCATGGAAAGACAGTTGGTAAGTTCCGAGGGCGTAAAGTTTTCCTTCAATCTCCTGAAGGATAGGCTGAGCTTTCCGACCCCTAAATATTTGAGCCTGAAGTTTGATGCTGCGGTTGGGATTCATAGTCCGATCAGTTTCAAACTCAAATATTTGTCTGCATGGGCATGGCCTGTATTCGTCTACTTCTGGGTCTAGTCCACCTTTCAAGCCACCGGCAAAAAGAACTTTTGATCCGAATACACCGCAGCCGACATGAGCCGGAAGATCCTTACCAGATTCAGAAGCCACTTGCTTCAATTGTAGTTTGTTTTTGGTCGAATGCCACAATTGTAGTTTGTTGGGCATGGTTGAGCAGTTTTTATTAGGTAGACATGAGACAAGAGACGATAACACAGTGTTCAATTCGATGGCTTCAACAACGTACGAAGTCACATTATCTAACCTGTACTTAGCAAAGCATATATACAGGACTCTATCATCAGCAGCAAATAATCTATCATCAACAGCAAATAACCCGTCTATGAGTCTGACTACAAGTTGATTTCTCACCCAATCAGGGCTCACCATCTTTATCTCCTGTATCTCCTCAATCTTCTTGTCCCACTCCATTAGCCCAAGACCAACAGCCTATGCTTGGCTTTATAGCTTTATTTAATACACTGGAGGAGGAGGTGGGAGAAAACAGAGACGTTTGGGAGGGAGGGACAAAGATCGCCGCGGCTGTTGGGTGGTGGGAGAAATTAGAGGAGGTGGCTGCGGGGAGCTAGGCTGAAATTAGAATATGAAGGTAAAGGGGCCAAGGGTTTTTATTTGTCGAATAGGGGCCAAGGGTTAGCTGGTATTAATTGGGGCCGACTGACGGTAGGGGATTCTTGAATATCTGATTTCGTATTGGAAGGTTACCTTTTTTTTTTGTTGGGTCAAAAGCTTACCCTTTTTATTTTCTTAAAACGTTTCTCTTTTTTATTTTAATAGGGCGTTTTTTTCCCCTTTAATACTCCCCATTGCGTTCTTCTTATATCTGCCGGCCCTCTCTCCAACAAAAAACACACGATCTCTTCCTCAAAATTCTGAGCCCTACACCACGAGGTGAACTTCTTCTGTCTGTCTCTGTCTCCATTAAAGTCGATTTCTGTTTGGTAAGTGCTCTTTGTTGTTTCTTTACGTTATTCTTTTACATATCTGTTTGTGTGATGTGTGATGTGTGATTGCTCTAAATTTGTTGTTTCTTTTTGTTATTTTTTACACTTCTGATACGTTGCTTTATCTGAATATTGGGTAGGCAGAAAGTTCATGAAGAAGATGCAGATGAAGAACAACTATTTGTATTTGCATTCTAAGGAGAGGTTGTACCGTCTGAACCTTAGCAAATTACTAGAAACTAGTTCTATGTCTGAGAGACCTCATATTGAAGTTGTCCATGATTTCTTAGCTCATGGATCCCCTATGGGAATGAGTTCTGTAACCCTAGGGTCCAAATTATATTTTTTTGGGGGTGAGAGACTGAATATGGATACGAGTGCCCCTGATTTTTGGAGAAATCCAATTTCGCGCTCGGATGCAAGAAATTGCCCAAACTTAGATTTGTTTGTTTATGATCCCGAGTGTTTGTCCATATACCCTTATAGTGTTAAGGTTCCTAGGTTGGGTGGTCCAATGAGCTATCCTATTGTAGTAACATTAGAGGGTAAAATCTATGTTATGGAGAGACGGCCATACTTTGGTTATCGGGAAAATTTCTTCCATCCAATTTTTGTGGTTTTCAATCCAACTACTAGTATTTGGAGATCTCTCTCTCCTCCCCCATTTTATGAGCCTTTTTCCCTAGAATGGAAGAACGATGACCTTATTATGAACCACTATGCATGGGGCCGCAAACTGGCCATTGTTACAAATAAATCTTCATATATTTTTGACGCACGTCAAGAGTCATGGAAGGAGGTGGATGATTTACCCAATCTCTATTCTTGTGTAGAATTTAAAGGTTTTTTGATTGGCATGTTTGTTGGGGTCAGAAACCTTTTTAGTTTTGAATTGGATGACAACGGCTTACCCCATTCCAGTAACTATCATGTGCTACCTGAACTGAGAGGAATATTCTGCCCTCCTTTGCGCAACCATAGCCCTGGCTTTGTTGCCTCCCTTGATGGTGATGACAGTCGTATGTGCGTTGTCTATGTGGGGGAAGATGGCACATATAAAAGGTGGTTTGCCCGTTTAGCAATGGTTAAACTTCATATATCAACATGTGTTGGAAAGTTAAAAGTTACTGCAGTTCTAGAGGGTTTGCACAGTTTTGATTGCAATGGACTTGAATTATATGGTCGGACACTTCTCTCATCTTTCATCATGTAAGTAAAATATTTTCATCTTACAACTTATTCAGTTTTTTGCCTTCATGGGTTGTGGTGTTTGTTGTTTATCAGTTTGCACTTGATCTCCTTGTCATTTCATAGGTGTGATCATTTGGACAAGCATGATGTCGAGGCTGATGCAAGTTGAAGTAGTCCTTCATGCCGTAACTTTTCTTGATTAATAATGTTTGAGGAATAAACTGTTGAATTATATATCCTTAAGCTGAATTAGAAGTTAGTTAAACAATAAATTTTTTGTTTAAGTTTTATTTAGCCAAATGGATAGATAGATGAGTGGCTGAGATCATCTTGTGATGTAAGAGATCAAGCTAATGTTGCTAACGGTAATATTCCTTGCTCCATGTGCTTAAGGTTGTAACAGATATGAGAGAGAACATCCCTCTATTGAATTCTGCAGAGCAGTAAGAGGACAATTCATTCTCTTTGTCATTCTCGTTTTCTTCTTCTTTCTTCATGTTGAGAGTGTTTGTCCCACATTGAAATGTTAAGGGACCTAGCCTGGGTTTATAAGGAGTTGGGCTACTCCCATCATTGCCAATTGGTTTTGGGGTGGAACCTCAACTTCCTTCATGGTATCAGAGCAAGGCTTCACGTGTTGGGCCCAACGGCCACACGTGCTCCCACGTCACCTAATATGTGTTGTCCACGTGTTAGGCTTGAAAGTTCGCCACACGTGCGGGGGCGTGTTGAGAGTGTTTGTCCCACATTGAAATGTTAAGGGACCTAGCCTGGGTTTATAAGGAGTTGGGCTACTCCCCTCATTGCCAATTGGTTTTGGGGTGGAACCTCAACTTCCTTCACTTCCATCGTCATCCTTCTCATATTACAGAAAACACTAACAGAACTTTCATGAATTTCCTGATTTATTTGTGTTTGCATTCAGATTATGATGCAGGAACCACATCCAATTCAGAATTTAGTATGGGTTTGAAAGTTAGTAGGCGAATGGCAGATTAAAGGAAAAGATAAAAGAAACAGAAAACTAAACCTTTAGTATACAAAGATTGAGATTGGATTCACTTCCAAGGGCTTTACCGCAAAACTCTCATCGTAGGAGAAGATACCAGAAAAGTATTGTTAAAAGTTCGTGTAGCATGTCATTCTGTTATTATATTGATTACTGAAGCTGGTTAGGGTACAATTATATGCGGGACACTTATTCTAAGATATTAACTCTCGAAGAGATAATCAATGAAAGCAATGTGTAAAACATACCAGAATCTTTTACTTGATGAAAGAACTCATGGAATTGCCACAAGTAGTTTTGCTTTTGAAAGACTTCATATCGTCCATCTTGTAAAGGGCACCCACTCATTGAGACTCCTAGATGATAATAGCTCAAATTCAAAAGTGCATATATTTATAATTATTAAAAGGGGGCTTTGTGTACTTGTTCGGTATTTAAATTATTTATTTACGATTGATTTTCACTAAATTCTCATTGTTCTGCAGGACAAGTATTTGTAAACCCTAAATTTGCTTATTTGATGAGTTTTTTTGTACCTTGCAGGACCTTGATCATGAACAAAAGGAAGCAAAAGCAAAAGGATATTTGTGAATTGACCTAGTTTGTAAAAATTAGGGTATTTATTTGGTGGCTATCATCTGTTATTCTCTACCAAAACTCTCTTGACACTTTTATTCTATTTTGCTGAGAACTTAATCCCTAGCTAAACCCTAGTTTGGTAACCTTCAGCAGAAGTATGGAAGTTTGTTAGTTTGATCCAAATTTCAGAGTTTGAACGTTTATATTTTTCATTGTATATATTTCTAGTTTCTCTCTGTATTTGATTGATGAGTTTCTAGTTTTTCTCTTATTTGATTGATTCAATGGTAGTTTTTTTTTCCTTTTTTTGGTTGGCATGCCGGGGTCTTTTTTTGATTCAATGGTACAAGTTCTGAAGTTCTAATCATGAATATTTGGAAGAGGGTGAGCTGCTCCTCGTTTCGGCAAATTTACAAGATCCATAACATGCAAAATGTTCACCAAATTAAGAATATTGGCACCCAGAAAACAATTGTAGTGTTCATGAATCGCAATTGTATCATTTCCATTGCCATACTCTAACGTTGTTTAGGGTTTAGGGTATCATTTCCATTGCCATAAACCCTAAACCAATAAGCGTGAAACCAGTAGGTGTCGATGACGAGATCTGGGAGCAAGTTCGATCGGATTGGGCTTCGGGGTGACCAGTAGGAGAGAGAAAGAGAGAGACGAGAGACAGAAAATAAAAAATGTAAAACCTCACTTGTTTTGTTTTTAAAATTGAACCTTTTTAAGTTGTATTTTAGTTGGGCTTTATCAAACGCGAATTATGGGCTTTGGACTCAAAAATTATTTTTGAATTTATAAAAATAGATCCAAATAGGATACCAAACGCGAATTATGGGTTTTGGACTCAGAAAGATACAGATGATGTTCTAGGGCTTGGGATGCTTTTTGAGGTTTCCAGTAGCTAGAGAGTATGGCTTGGGTATGCTTGCTCTTGCTGTGGTTGTTATATGTTTAAGAATTTGATACTGAAATGGTGTTTAAGCATGGCAAGGCAAATTTCTGGGTGTTTGCAGAGGGTAAGCTTGCCTCTGTGCGAAGAGGTTAGTGTTTACTAAATGTTGGAAAGGCAAACGACGATACGATAGCGCTTACGAGACCACGCTGTTTGCTGAAAGAAATGTATAATACGTTGGACAATTTTCTTTTTTTCTATACGTATTTACTTTTTCTTTTTTGGCGTATACATAATTGGGCCCTGGGCTGTTGCCCTGCTCTTCCTGGGCCAAGGCCAACCTATGTGTGTTTTTTTTTGGACGGTGTTCATGCAATTCCTTTTTTTTTTTTTTCCTGG